AATAAACATTTATATGGTTCCTTATGATGCTTCAGAGTCTTCATCACATCACACTCAGTTTATAATTCTAGTATTAAGATTTTGTTTTGTTGAGTGTAAAACTAAAAGGAGAGAACACAAAACATAGAAGGAAAATAAGTTGAGTGTGTTTTATAAGAAATAAAATTGAGAAATAAAATAAAAGTGTTTGATTTTAATGATTCTCATATGTAAAAATAAATCTTTTTTAATTTGAAAGGAAAAAAATGAGAGAAGATATTAGACACATGTAAATTAATTTAAAATATAATTTTTTGAGATTTTCTTTTCTTTTATTTTTCAATTTGATCAAGCAACAAATAAAGAAAATAATTTATTATTTTTCTGGTGTAACAATACTCCATACAAGAAATGGTGGGATCAAACTTGTAGTTCCCTGTAAGTGTGTATCAAGCAATAGGTTAATCACATAGTTTGCAAATTCAGGGACACAACTAGGAATTTATTATAATCGGGTTAAAATATTTTTTGTTTTTTATAAATACATTTTTTTAATTGAGGGATCTATAAAATTTTTCCTTATTTATTTTTCAAAAAAATATATCTTTTTAATATTAATTAATATTAAAAAAACAATTGGTAGTGACCAAGGCTCTCCTTGGCCCCCATGATCAGGGATGGATCACAGGGGCACGTGGGGGCAGTCGTCCTTTGAAAATATAAAATTATCATATATTTTATTTCTTCTATGTATTTTCTATTGAAAATCTATTTTTATCCCTTTCTAATTTTAGTTTTGCTTCCAACATAAAATCTTATGTCTGTACTTACCTATGAGGTTCCACCACTCAGACGAGATGATCCTTGCAGCTGTCGGTATCGTATAACAAAATATAATACAAACCACATATCAAGGGAAATGAAAAGGCAGTAGGGTTGGGTCCTCAATGATTTACCAAAATTCATATATATACATATAATGTAGTCTTATACCATAATGGACAGAATTTAAAGGATGTGGCTGGTATTTATCCATTTCAAAGACAGAATAAAACATGTTTCGGATTCAGAATCCACAACGCCAATAATTTATCCATTAGGTTTTGACCCTTTCACGACGGCATTGAATGGTAGGAAAATGAAAAACATCTAGTTTTTGGCATGGCAGTGTCCTAGCCGTCCGGCATCACTTTTGGAATTGATCTCTCAGAAATCTATTCATATATTAATATTAGGGTTAACTTCACGAATGATCATTTATGATTGTTTTTTGTCTATTTTTAATCACTTATTTAAAAAAATATAAAATATGTTCACTTTCGTTTTTATTTAATTAAGACGTGGTCACCTCGAATTAACTACTGTTAGCAACAATTAAATATTTTTGATATAATCACACATTTGGTCATTGTTATTACTTATTCTCTCAATTTAGTTTACTTTTAATAAATTAAAATAAATTTAATCTTCCAATCAAATGATGTCACATGTCACACATGTCACCATTCGGTTGAAGCACTAACTTTATTTTAATCTAATATGTTTATTTCCACCAATCAAAGTGTTACTTCTGTCACCCTTTTGTTGAAAGAAAACAAAGAAAAGCAAATTGAGACAAAAAAATTCAAACCTTGATCACTTAAGAAACTAAACATGTATCCAACCATGAAGCTAAGACTATTGCTTGGTCTAAAGTAGACAACATAGTGTGTATATTTTGTATGTTAGTGTATAAATACTTAAATTCATAATATTTTATATATATTAACTTAAAAATATTTTTATTAACTTATTAAATATATTTTATTATTAACTTAATTTAAAATATTTTTATTTTTATTTAAAAATATATTTTATGTGAAAATTTATTTAAAAGTATGACTAAATTGAGAAAAATATGTAAATAATAAGAACCAAATGTGTGATTATACCAACTATCTTGTCACATATAATGACCTCGTCTTAATTAAATAAAAACGAAAACAAGCATATATTATGTCTATTTTAAAATTAGTGACAAAAAATAAACAAAACATAAACATAAGTAATTATCCTTGCAGTTAACCTTTAATATTACTATAACACCCTCAAACAATTGCAAAATGACTCTCCCTTTTTCTCTGTAAGTCGTATATTTTTTTAAGCGCAAATCTTCTTATTTTGCTGCTACTACTATTTTCCCTTTTTATTTTTCTTCTCAACTGTTCAATTACCGAGTTGGAATGATTTTCCGGGTTTTGGGAATTGAGATGGGTTGCCCGCACCCAACTCAAATGACTTTAAGAGACTCGTCGCATGGTCTTCATGATGTAGAAATCTATCACATGTTCTGCTCTTCTATTATTTCGATCGAGTTATAAATATTTTTGAGAATAGATACATACATATATATTAATAGTATAAATTTTTTGAACGAGGTAAGAATAAATAAAATTTTAGGGTGGAAACCATTAATAAAATGATTTACGAAAATTTAGATTTCAAGTTGGATAAAATAAAATTTTAAGATAGACATTATTAATAATGTAAGTGAATAATCGAAATACATATAAATTTCAAGATGAGCATGTGTCCACCCTCAATCATGAGTGCATCCTCTACTGGACTTATCTGATTAGCAGCACCAAATCAGTGCGTTTTGGGTGAAACCCTTTCTTCTGGCTATCCATTTCCGTTCCAAAAAAACTGTCTTTATTTTGCGACTAAAGCTTTTTTGTTTTTTTGGCGAGTAAATTGGTCCTAGAATGACGGAATCTAAGGGAAAACAGCTGAATATCTTGTTCTCAAAGTTGGACAAATAATGGCATGATTATTACTCTTAACTTTTGTCTTTCAAGTCCCTGTACAACTCAACTCACCCTAATATATTTTATGGAATGGAACAAATCTCATTTTACCACTTATATATACATATACTCTACCGGTAATGTAATGTTTAAGTATTGTAATGTGTACAAGTACCTATTATATTGTTATGCAGGTTGAATACTGATCTTCACTGTTTCTCTGAACCTAGTTTTCTTATACCTGATCCACTGCAGTAAGAAATTAATCTGTTCATACTTCTTTCATTATCTTACCCTTTGTTTCATAGAAAGCTTTTCTTATACCCTTTTCGAATAACATTATCTATTGTGCAGTGAAGATCTTATATGTTTCTTAACTTTTTCTTCTTCTCATTTTAGGGTCAATTAACTAAGAGTATGAAGGGACTAGGCGGCCAGAACTTGTGTCCCATGTTGAGGAGTTTTACCGCATGTATCGCTCTTTGGCGGAGCGTTATGGCAACCTGACAGGAGAATTGAGGAAGAATATTGTAGGAAAAGTATAAATGAATTGATTGAATCATGACTATTCATGAAAAATAATTAAGTCTTTTTATGAAAATAGTTATTTCATTTCACTCTAAAGGTCATGTCTTTCCATGATAACCTTTTGATTAAAAGGTTATGATTTTTAATCAAATGGTTAAGTCATTTCATTTAAAGGGTATAAATATTTGTTCAAACTAGAGGAGGGAATAAATATTTTATTACCTTCATTGATGATAGCACAAAATATTGCTATGTATATTTGCTTAAAAGCAAAGATGAAGCTATAGAAAAATTTATTCTCTATAAGCAAAAGTTGAAACCCAACTTAACAAAAGGATTAAGAGGGTGAGAAGTGATCGTGGTGGTGAATATGTTGAACCATTTGGTCAATAATGTGCACAACATGGTATTATTCATAAGATAACACCACCATACTCTCCTCAATCGAATGGAGTAGTAGAGCGGAAAAATCGAACATTAAAGGAAATGATGAACGCTATGCTAGGAAGTTCTGGGTTGTCACAGAACATGTGGGGGGAAGCTGTCTTATCATTAAATTACCTTTTAAATAAGGTGTCTCGCAAGAAAAAAGACAAGACACCATATGGGTTGTGGACAGGCAAAAAACCCTCCTACAATTACTTGAAAGTGTGGGGGTGTCTTGCAAAGGTAATGACTCCTTTATCAAAGCAAATGAAAATAGGTCGTAAAACAATGGATTGTATTTTCATTGGCTATGCTCACCAAAACAATGCATATCGATTTCTTGTGCATGAATCAAAGAATCCAGAAATTCACAAGAATACGATATTAGAATCTAAAAATGACTCATTCTTTGAAAATATATTTCCTTGTAAAATTAGAGAAGTTGGCTCAAGTTCAAGGAAACGAACTTTAGAAACTATTAATGAAAATAGTCAAGGCTTCCAACAAGATATTGAAGTCGAGATAGAGCCAAGAAGAAGTAAAAGGGCACGAGTAGAAAAATCCTTTGGATCGGATTTTCTAACCTATATGCTAGAGACTGAACCTGTAACTTATAGCGAAGCTATACATTCATCTTAAAGTAATTTTTGGAAAGATGCCATCAAAAGTGAAATTGATTCCATCATGCAAAATCATACGTGGGAATTAGTGGATCTTCCTCATAGAATTAAACCATTAAATTCTAAATGGATTTTCAAACGAAAAATGAAAGCAGATGGAACAATTGATAAGTACAAGTCCAGATTGGTTATTAAAGGGTACCAACAAAAGGAATGTCTTGATTACTTTGATACATATTCACCCGTATAAAGAATAACTTCTATAAGAATGATACTTGCAATTGTCGCTTTACGGAATTTAGAAGTACATCAAATGGATGTTAAGACAACTTTTCTTAATGGAGACCTTGATGAGGAAATTTACATGGAACAACCTGAGGGTTATGTTGCTCCAGGACAAGAAAAGAAAGTATGTAAGTTGGTAAAGTCATTATATGGACTTAAGCAAGCACCAAAGCAATGGCATGAAAAATTTGATAGTGTTATGATATCAAATGGATTTAAAATAAATGAGTGTGACAAAAGTGTGTATGTCAAAATCACCGTTGATGGATATGTAATCCTATGCCTCTATTTTGACGACATTCTCATTATTGGAAGTAATAATGAAATGATAAAACGTACCAAAAATATGTTAAATTCAAAATTTGACATGAAAGACATGGGACTTGCTGACATGATTTTGGGCATCCAAATCAAAAGGTCATCTAAAGGTCTCATATTGACTCAGTCACACTATGTAGACAAGATTCTTGAAAAATTTGGCAAGGATGATTCTGGTGTAGCCAAAACTTCGATAGATACAAGTCAACATCTATATAAAAATAAAGGTAAAAATGTTAATCAAGTGGAATATGCAAGGATCATAGGCAGTCTAATGTACCTTATGAGTTGCACTAGACCTGATATTGCTTTCACTGTAAGCAGTTTAAGAAGATTTACAAGCAATCCAGGGGAGAAACACTGGAAAGCAATTGTAAGGGTATTGAGATATCTCAGATATACTCGAAATTATGGATTGCATTATTCTAGAGATCCTGCTGTGTTAGAAGGATTCTCTGATGCCAGTTGTATATCTGATATTCAAGATACCAAGGCACAAGTGGTTATATTTTCACATTGGGAGGAGGAGTTGTGTCATGGAAATCCTCAAGACAAACAATTATAACCAGATCCACGATGGAATATGAGTTTGTAGCCTTGGACAAAACTGGAGAAGAGGCAGAATGGTTACAAAATTTTTTGGAGAATATTCCTGAATGACCAAAGCCTGTACCCAAGATATGTATATATTGTGATAACCAAGCAACAATTGGTAGAACACAAAATGTAATGTATAATGGTAAGTCGAGACACATGCGACGTCGACACATGCGACGTCGACACAATACCATTAGACAACTGATCTCAACTGGAGTTATTTATATTGGTTTTGTAAGATCAAAAGATAACATTGCGGATTCGCTAACCAAAGGGTTGAAACGAGATCAAGTTGATAAAACATCAAGAGGAATGGGACTAAAGCCCATGAATTGTTAAGGCTTTATGTGAAGGAAAACCCAACCTAGTTGACTGGAGATCCCAAGATCTAGGTTCAATGGGACAACCTACTTGCATAGACCTGATGAGGTCACTGTGGGGGTTTTATCCCCAAGCCCATTCGTATGATTAAAACATTGACTAAAATGTGGATAAGGTTAAACAATGCTTTTAATGACCAATATGTGTTTCGTTGAACCGAACAACATAAGTCACCTATGTGAGAGTGAAGTGGAGCCGCTTCAAAGAGACTATTGGGCATAGTTCTCTAAGCTCTTACATAACCAGGAGATGTCCACTACTATATGGACATAACCATGAGAACCAAACTCTTGTCAGTAAGATATTTGTGTGAGGTATGTCATCGCTTACACAAACGGTAGGACAATTCAAGGATATCACGTCTATTGGACAACCAGTAAGGTAAACATATTTTCACAAGAGAAGGTTCAAAGGGGGACGCCTACCTATCTTATGCAAATATCGAACGTAGAATCTATCACCATATCGAGTTAATGACTATTCATGAAAATAGTTATTTCATTTTACTCTAAAGGTCATGTCTTTCCATGATAACCTTTTGATTAAAAGGTTATGATTTTTAATCAAATTGTTAAGTCATTTCATTTAAATAAATGTCTTAACCTTTCAATAAAGGTCTTAACCTTTCAATCCACTCCCTATATAAAGGTTAAGTTGTGACACATTTCAACACACAACTTTTATTATTTTCTTTCAAGTACATTTATTTTCAATTCTTCGATTCTTCAAAAGTCATTTTCCGGTGATAGATAAAGACAAAAATTGTGTTCGATTGTTCACTACGGCTGTGCTTACTGTTGTGAACGTTTGTTGTTGTATCCTGGGAGACCGACGTCCAACGTTACTCAAAGCATCGAGGAGATGACGAATCTGTCTTAAGGAAACTGTTCATTCAGGCCTCAACAAAACTCTTCTCCTACATATTCAATTTCATTCGATTACAGGATTTCATTCGATTACAGGTTCTATTTTAATTTCACATTTTTTTAACTTTATTATTGAAATGAAACTTTTTTAGATTGTAATACTACAACAATATTTTTCAATATTTTGCAACAAATTTTCCATCAGATCTCCAATCTCAGGGTTCCGACATCTCTGACATTGCCTCTGATCTACCCTCTATTTGGCCATCCTCAGACCAAAGGCCGGGTCATCGTAAATCTGGTCCACGAGCTGCTGGTTTTAGTGTCTTCCTTGGTTCTTGTGGGAACGGCTCTGATGTGTACAAGAAAGAAGAGGACGAGTTCTCTACTAGAACAGATTCTGAAACCGAATCCGATACTTCCTCAGTCAATAATTACTCAGTTTTATCAGGAAATGGGAGCGATCAAGGGGTGAGCAGGAAAATGATTGAGTTTGAGATCGAGGTCCATGAAGTGAAACAGAAGCTACGGGGGCTGGAGGAAGAAAGTACAGATGGTTCAGTAGGAGGGGCAAAACATAATAATCCTGAACTTGTTGCTAGAATTAGGGAGTATGAGGAAAAGCTTGAACTTGCTAATAAAAAAATACAGCTCACCGAAGAAAGTCACCTGGTTGAGAATCAAGCTCCAAAAATATAAACCACTTGAGGCAGCTGACTCAGAATCATCTGAAGAAGAAAGTGTCAAACTCAAGATGCACAAGATAGAGCAGATCGAGGTAAACGAGGCATTGGATCTTGAAAATAAGAATGGTATGTGGGAGAAAGATAATAACCATGCAGATGGCAAGATGCAGGCACTGGTGGAAGAATTAAGTTTAACTAAAGAAATGCTTCAGGGTTCTGAGAAAGAGATTGCTAGTTTGAAGCTGGAGAAGAAGCAATCTAATGAAAAAATTCAAAAGTTGCAGGGTCACCTTGATTCGGCTCAAAGGGAGATAGTTACATGTAAATCCAAACTGAATACAGAGAAAAGAGAGGTCTCCAAGCTGCAGGATAGAATTTCTATGTTAAAGAATAGTTTATCTGACAGGTATCATGAGATCCGTGATCTAAAGATAGCTGTATCTGATGCCGAGCAGAATATTTTTCCCGAGAAAGCTCATATCAAAGCTGAGATATCAAAATTGTTGGAGGGACGAGTTTGTTTGGAAGAACAGATCAGGGATTGGGAAGGGCGAGGCCGGTCCTTGGAGGAGGACATCAGAAAAGCCGTGTATGAGAAAAGAGAATCAGAGGAGAGGCTTTGTGGTGAAATTGAGCATTTAAGACTGGAGATTGCTGAGAAGAGTGATTGCATTAAAGTTTTGAATGAAAACCTTAAGACTTTAACCTTGAAACTAAAATTGCATCTCTCAAAGCAGATATTAGTACTGGGGATAAACAGATTGATCAAATGGACAAGCATCTTCACGAGTTAAATGTGGAACGCGTGCAGCTAGTTGCTACTGCTGGAGGAGCACATAAATCGGTGGAGGTATTGCAATCAAAAGCTAAGGAATTAGAGGATGTGATTGAGAGGCAAAGAATCACAATACTGGAGGGAGCAGAAGAAAAACGAGAGGCTATAAGGCAGCTCTGCTTCTCCCTTGAGCATTACCGAGATGGGTATCATTGGCTTCGTCAAGCATTTATGGGGCAAAAGAGAGTTCCAGTTTTGACAACATGAATATGCAGTTCTACATGACACCATTTCATTTTACTTGGTAGCTCGATTATTTTGTTGAGTAAGAGTTTCATGATAATACAGAAAACAGAAGTTGCATTTAAGAGAGAAAAATGGTAGGTTTTCTCACAATGCTAGCACCAAGAAGATGCTCTCTAATTATGCTCGAAATATTGGGATCTGGTTGCATTTAGACATAACATGACAGTTTTGCATTGTAACTTTTGGTTGTCCGATATCCTTTGTAGATTCCCAGGTCAATTAAGCGGTTCCTCGCTTTTCATGCTCGCACAGATACCTGTGGCTTCGTTGATCTATGGTTCAACAGGAATAAGTCATGCCTTTTGTTTGATTTAAGCTTGATAGTCCTTGGTCTCAGTTCTGTCCTGTTTGTCCGTCACTCTCTTGATGACCATATTATCGAGTTCAATCGGTATGCGTTGGTTTAATATTCTTTTTTCTTTTTTTGTACACTGCTTGTTGTATTATGTACTGAATCAAAATAATTAGTTGATATAATATATAGAGGTGGGAGAAAATTTTCATTAATTATATTTTTTGTATAAATCCAAAGGAGTGGAATGGATCTTTTATCATTCTTTGTATCCAGTATATGTGTGTATTTATATCCATCTTTAGATGGATATATTTGGGAGTGAAGTCATTACATCCACCATCTTCTATGTTTGGAATTCCATAAATTCTGTGGAGAAATATCCTCAACTGCAAGCAGAAGGCTACAACTAGCACCAATCAAGGCTTCCCTGACTTCTGAAGTTAAAGCATTGGACCCTCCAGTCTCATCCGTTACATCATATGATATATACTTTATTGTTCGACCCTATCATTCTCATCCTCTGGACCCTCCACCTGGCACATTTAGGCTCCATCTGCTTTGGGATTTTCCCAACATTACGATTCTGTCATAGTCCTGGTTTCCTTCATCAAAATCATGATTTTTACATGCAAATAGGGGAGAAAAACACAGTACACAAGACAGAAACACTAGCTTGAAGCTGCCCAACCGGTAACACCTTATAAAAAAAGGTTATGTTGGAGGGTCTTTTTTTCAGAGCAATTTTTGTTTGCTTACTCAATCCTCTCTAGTTCAGCCTTAGCTATCGCAATTAGCTGAGACTAGTACCTCTCTCTCAACCAACTTCACCTTTTCTAATTTTCTGACCATGAAAAGGTTATCATCTTCAAAAAGGGTAGTGAACAATAGCGTTAAAGGGGAGATAGAGTGGGAGCTTAGGCCTGGTGGCATGCTTGTTCAAAAGAGGAACATGGGGGATGCTTCTTCTGCTCCTATGATCAAGATCAAAGTTTCTCATGGTTGTTATCACCATGATATAGCTCTGCCTGCTCAATCCACTTTTGGTAATCATTTCTTTACATTTTTCTTGCTTCATGACTGTCTTTGTTGAGGTTTTAGGGAAGATTAGCACAGTGGCTTTTGTCATCAATTCATACCAGCAGTTTGCATGTTACTTTTTCTCCTTTGAACAAACTATGTTTTTCTGCAATTCCTCTTCTTATTAGTTTGGTTCAAACTGAAGGGGATCTGAAAAGAGTTGTTGCACAAGAAACCGGTTTGGAGCCCAAGGAACAGAGGCTATTGTTCCAAGGGAAAGAAAAGGATGATGAAGAATGTTTACATATGGTAGGAGTAAAAGACATGTCAAAGGTGGTACTTTTAGAGGACCCAGCTACCAAAGAGAGGAAGCTGGAGGAGATGAATAGAAATCAGACCGTGCTAAAAGCCTGTGAAGAGGTTGCTAAGGTCAGATCAGAGGTTGATAAACTCTCTGAGAAGGTTAGCATCCGCTGAAAATAAGGGATTAAAATTTAGTTTTTCATGTTACAAATGTCAATACTTTTCAGCCCACTGACCAAACTTTGGTAGGTTATTGCTTTGGAGGGAATTGTTGGCGCAGGTAAAAAAGTCGCAGAAAACGAATTCCTTGTCTTGACGGAGTTGCTTATGGTACAATTGCTCCAATTAGATTCAATTGAGGCTGATGGGGAAGCCAAAGTCCAGAGGCGGGTTGAGGTTAGATTTCCTACTGAGACACATATGATTAAAAGTTTTTTCCTTTGCTCTAATCAAAAGCCCTTTTGGTACAAATAACTCTGCTTGTTCATGTTGATATATATTTGGTGCCTTTGTGTCATAGAGAAGAAGATAAAAAATGAGAACCCATTTTGCTTGGAAATGGAAACAGTTGGTTAAATATGTCACATGTCCACCTCCTTGTACTGCATCCAACCTGATAGAAGGGAAAAAAGTATATTTTGTTGATTAAAATAGTGAACAAAGAGGAGGTTGTCGTTGATGGATCTGGTTGCTGTCAACCATTTTTCAGTTCGAATCACATACTAGAAAACATTAGATTTTGGCACAGGTTCGTCGAGTGCAAGGACTAGTGGACAGCCTAGACAAATTGAAGGCTCGAAACCCCAATCCCTTCAGCAGTAGTTGCAATGCAGTGGCGGTGAGTAGCAAATGGGAGGCATTCGAGTCGGGGGTAGGAAGCCAAGCCTCCTTACCATCCTCTACAAGAATAACTCAAGAATGGGAAGTATTCGATTAAGCTCAACATAACATCTATCACATGGTAATGTACTAGTCTTGTATGGGATCGAGGTTCCATCCATAGAACACTTCATTTTGCTTTGGTTTTTGTAAATAGCTCTGCTATTGAAGTGCAGAGAGATGGATTCTTTATCTTTCGGCATGATATGCATAAAGAATCATGGACGATTCTTCAAGGCTAATATTACTTGTTTCTGCTCATTTTTCCTTGTTGGCTTAGCTTTTGGGAACCCTCTTCCTCACCGAAATGCAGTAATGCACACTCCATATAATTGCAACTTAAAATAGTTATTATGGGACCGTAAGAATCAATTCAGTGGTGGGCCATTAAAAGCCCGTTATTTTATTCATTTTGCAACTTGTCTTGTATTCATTTAAAGACTAATAGTAGCCTATGTTGTCTTATAATTGATAATCAAGATGCATAAACGACTTTTCCACATTTTCTGTGTTTTGGTTTCTTTCTCATCTTCATTCATTATGAAGCGCTGTTCTCTGCTTGCTAAAAAATTGACATTATAAAGGGAATTCTAGTGGTATTTGGTTCATAACGATGAAGGATGGAGTCAAGCAGGCTTTGGATTTCATTTCACCATCAATGGAGCCTTCAAGTTCACAACCACCGGCTGAGCTGAGTTTGTCACGTGACACCCACTTTGCTTTGCATGGCCAGATTTGGTTACTTGTTCTCGTCTTTATTTTCGTTCTCTTCTTCGCATTCATCGTTTTTCTTCCTCGCCTTAGATTAGGTAGAAGAAGCTTCAGATAACCCTGATAAATAACATTACAGTACAGAGGAGGAGCTGTTTTTGGAGACGGAGGAGATTGGATGAAGATTAAGCAGAAGAGGAACAAGAAGAAGAAGATTCCAATGGAATAAACCAGACCTCCTTTGTAACAAAGTGTTTTGTTTATTGTCTTTTCTAAGATTGAATTGAAACCACCCCTTGACTAGCTAGCTTTCAACAAGATTGCTCAACTTGTGGCTGTGATTTTCTCTTCTTTTATTTCTCCCTTAATTTGAATTACAGGCAATAAGTAAGCACCTGACATTCATGTTTCCGGACGACGTCCGTACGGCACAGAAAGGAAAGCAGGCTCATCTGGGCATAATGTTAAGCAGAGATTGCCCTCCTATTCACCGCACAGTGAAGGCTTGATTAAGAATGTAATAATAGTTTTAGTAACTTAATTAGGACTTTATATACGATGAATGACTTTTCGTTACGGCTTATATTAGTCCCTCTCCATCAAGGTTTAATTAAGTTAATTTGTAACTGTAAACTTATCAAACGATTTAGTAGGGTTTGTTAACTTTTCAAAATTAATTAAATTACTGACTGAATCGAATTAATTAAATTAAAAATGGTTAGGCGAGGAACAATGAACTTTTTTTAATATTTGGTTAACGATTAATTCAGTTTAAAGTCGATTTATTAATTGAAAAATTAAATATATTATATATATTAAATACATATTTTAAGGTCAAACACATTAAGAATTAAGATCTAACTATTTTTTAACCACATTAAACCTATTAAATTATCAAGACCTAATTAAATTTTAATTTAATTAAAAAATGGATAAACTATAAGTGTAGTACCTAAACTATTATTTTTGTTCCGTTTTAGTATCTAAAATATTTTTTTCCAAAATCATACATAATGTTTAGTTTAGGCTTTATTTGGTAATTTATCATTAAAAACTTAACGATTATGCTAATGGTTAACATAAAATAATGTAATGTCATCATTAAAAAAGGATAAATCACACCATTCATCACTCAACTATATTATCACTCTTATTTTGGTCACTAAAATTTAAAAAAAATTAATTTAATTATTCAACTTTCAAATTACTTCTATTTTAGTCCCTCTAATTTAGGGTTTGGGTATAATTTTGGGGGTTTTAATTTAATTTTCTTTTTATTTTAATAATATATTAATAAAATAATAAAAAAAATGTCATGTTATATAAAAATATTAATAAAATAAATTAGAGTAACCAAAATAGGAGTGATAAGATTGGTTTAGTCTCTTTAATTTAGGGTTTGAGTATAATTTTGGGGCTTTCTAATGCACAATTATCTTTTTCAGATTCTTGATTTGAGACAATAATCACGTTTTGAATATGATTTTTTACTGAAAATAAGTTATTTGGGAATGCTTTTACATTTCAAACAGAATTTTAGGTAAAAAAAACCCCTCCATAAGCCATGACTGATGACTAAGCCATGTTTACATAAGCCCTGACTAAATCATGATTTCCAGTCAAGTCTTTGAAAACTTGTAAGCTACTAAATTAGGCTCCTCATAATCGGCTACAAGCCTACAACAGTTTCAGGTGTAAGTGGTTGTTGTCCCATCTTTATCTTTAAATGAACTCTGATTTGTGTCTCATTTTGTTACAAGTTGTTAGAAAATTGGAATACATTCAATAACTTCAAACAGTCGCAATGAGTAGCACTAACATTCGGCCTGCAGATGAATGCTAATGGAAAAGTTCAAGTATGGACCCAATTTCAACATTTTAGTCTAGGACATCCCCGTGAAATGACTGTCCCGATCGCTCACAATCATCTCTAGCACTCCCAGTGAAACAAGCTTCCTTTAGTCGGACGCTCTAGTTGTTGGAATGAAGGTCTCATTCTAGAAAACATGCCAACCACCACTGCAACACTAGCAAATCCGTTATATTTTGTCACAACGATGGCGGCTAATTTAGGGCTTCTGAATCAGCTGGAGGATTTGGGGACAGAAGCTGGAATTGGGATCGCGACGTGTGAAGGCTTGCAATGTTATGAAATGGGGTCTGATGAGTAAAACGGTACCGTATTGATTAATGAGACGGGTGGGCTAGTATGTGTCTGGCCCAGTAGTTGTTATTAGTTCGGTTTATGATTGGGCTACGTGCATAAGTCAATAAACTGTTTGTAGGAAGTTTGGTCTATAAAAAGGACGTTTGTAACTAAGCCATGTATGAACAATCTTTTTCAAGAAATAACATCCTAAAATCCTGTTTCTTACCTCTGAAATCTCTTTTCTTCATCTCAATTCACAACATATTTTGGGAAAACAACAATAAAATTCATGGATACACTCATATTGTCATTACGTTATTGACAAAGATGCAACAAACTCGTTAGATACTTTTTTTTTTGCCTCGTTAAAATCCTTCTTAAACCTAAACGGAGGAAAAGAGCACACATAATCTGATAATTACTAATAACAATAATCCGACTCTACAAAAAAAAAAACAACATACAAAATCTTCTTTGCCTTTAAGAGCCACAACCCACAAATCCCCTATATCAAAACAGTTATAAGACAGCCCCAAAGAGACTCCAAATAGTTCGAAACTCACCATAACCGCAACTCCTTAAATAAGAATTTCTTTCTAGCCCCGCTAAAGCAATATGAACTGTCATGGCATTAAGATTTAGCCTTTGTACAAGAATTCCTTTTCTATCCTAAAAGTCTGTCATCACAATTTTTTAGCCCAATAAAATTAACACCCAAGGTAAATGTCCAGTCCATATACGTTCAAAAAATAATAATAACCCATTACAAATTCTCCAAACCCGGTTTAGGCCCAACAAGTCTCTTAACCCAACCGAAGCCCAACAAACCCACACATTTGGGATTTGTGAAGAAGCCCTAGTGTAACATTCCTGCTTCCGCCGCCTCCCATGGCCACGTGAGGTGGCCCCAACAGCAGCACATCGAGCCTCCTCGTGTATCCAGTGGTCCCAGTCGCTCCCCAGCCACAGTATCACATGCAAGACAAAAATAAAAATTGAATGTAATTTCATTTTTTGTTTTCTTTTTCTTTTTTCGATTTGCAACGGGGTATAACACAACTCCAAAAAAAAAAACAGATTATAAAGGGACCTACTCCATTTCGAAAAGGAACCATAATCAGAGAAAATATTTTTTTGGCAAAATGGTAACTTCTACCTATGTAGTAGACTCAATTTATCACTTTTGATTATATCGTACTTTTACATTAATTTAGTCATCGAATTTACTCAATTGCATCATTTTATAACCTTACCTCTAACTTATAACCTTAAACTATAATCTCTAAACCCTAAATCATAACCCTATTACCTTTAAACACTAACTTAATATTTATAATTTAAGGTTTTAAGTTAGAAAAAGGGCATAAAATGATACAATTAAATAACTTTGAGGGCTAAATTGATACGAAAACATGATAGGACGAAAAATGATAAATTTGGCCTATAGGGGCAAAGATGATCCTTAAACCAAAAGTTTTTTTTAGCATTTCAAAAGGTATTCTCCATTTTTTTTCCTTTTCGTTTTTCTCTGGTTTGGTTTTTGTGTGTGTATGTCATTTCAGAGAAAAAAATATAGGAATGGGGGAAAAGATTAAGTTTATATGAGTCTATAGGGATTGATTGGAGTTAAGAGGGTCACTGAAGAGTCATCCCCGCCTCAGGTCATTGGGGAGAGTGAAGCCGAAAGGTCGAGTGTTTTGAGTGAGGCCAGGGCTCGTTGAGCCGTGTCCAGTATCCGATTTGGTGTTAGGAAGGGAAATCGGGTAGTTCAGGTTTGTTTGGACTCGATTTCAAGTTTACCAACCACCGTGGGCAGTGGCCGGTGGGTGAAATGGAGGCTTTTGATTTCTGGTCGAGAGAGAATTAATAGAGAGTTTTTTTTTTTGTTTTGAGGATAAAATGAATGAAATAAAAAATAGTGGGTTTTATAGTGCAAATTTTTGGGAAAATTACGTTTAGGTCCCCAACATTGTGCGCATTTTTACACTTTCGTCGCTGGACCCTATTTTTTTTTATTTTATTGCAATTTTGGCTCATTTTTACAGTTATTTCAATTTAGTCACATATTTATACTTTTTTATTGATTTCAAATTGGTTTTTTCTTTTGTGTTATGTTACATTTCAATCCCTATTTTAATTTCATTTTTAATCCCCTAACTTCTAATCCTAACTTACTAACAACTAATTATTTACTAACATACTAATTGCTAACTCGCCAACTTACTAACTTTTTTTATTTTCGCATTCGAATCATTCTACGACCTTTGTGGTGAGTTGCACTGGGCTAAGATCTACATTATTTATGGTCCAGATAAAATTCTAAAATAAGCATTAACCTCTAACCCACTAATCACTAACTTTTATTTTATTTTATTCTATTTACATGTCTTCTCTTTATTTTCCCGTTATATTTTCCCTTAACATAAAATCTTGCGTCTGTCTCTAGCTAGGCTGATTAACTTTTCTCCAGCATGGAAAATATTTCTAGCGTAAGTTTTCTTTTGCAAAACTCGTCCCACTATCTTGAAAACTCAATTCCATCATACTAACCACTAAGTTTTCCCTCCCCACCTCTAATTCAATAACATCATCAATACTCTCCCTATGCCTGGTGGAAACTAGCATTGTGACCTTTGCACAATCGATGCTTTGAGAAGCATTTTGTCCCATAATGCATCAGCGAACGCTTCTTTTAGATAACCAATTATGTTCCTTTAGTGACTTAAAGAATTCATGGCCCTTGATCTCAATAAAAAATCTCCGACTACCCATACTCTTAACAATGATTTCACCCAGCCTCCAATCGTGCAATCGTTTTACTACTCTACTTGAGCTGTAGATTGTCGCCATAATTCCTGCAAGACACTTTTCTAACCTCTGAAGTGTTTCTTCCTCAACATGACATTGTATTCTCTTGTAACTCTTCTCATTCGATGTTTCCAATTCCTTATTGCTTGATTCCCCTATTGCTTCCGTTTGGTCCTTTTGTTTATCACTACCAACACTCCATTGACATTACGCTTGCCTGTTTCCCTGAATGAACATTTGTTTCCTTTAAAACTATCACCTTGTGAGGCTTGCTGAAGTTGTTGTTGTAAAACTTTCTCCAAGTCATCGGCCTTCCATCATATTTGGCTTCAGACACAAAGATTTAAAACCTTGCATGACAAAATTATTCAACCTTTCAATCGCTCTATCTGCATCCGCCCTATTGGAAAATCTTACAAAGCCAAACCTCTTCCTCACTATGAAAGAGTTATCAACATCTCTATGCCTTCCAAAGACTTGTCTCAATCCGCTCCACTGTAGAGTTCTCTATATGTTTTTGACCAATAATGTGACTAACATTGCTGAAATCAGATGAAATGATTTTTAAACACTCACAATTGCAACACCGGTTACCACACATCACCATAATCCCATCTCACATTACTTTTATGATGAAATGTTGTGCTCTGTGGCTAAGTTATCATGCTTTGGTTTAAGGTTTTGCATATTGACATTTGCATTTGAAAGCTACATCGAAAGTTTGAGATTTAGAGACAAGTCTTCACGTAGACCTCATCATCATTATTTATGTACAATTAGTAGTAACGTTCCATAATCATTCTTTGATGACACATACATAATCCACTAAATAATGAACATTTCATTTTATTGTGATCGATTGTTTAAATAAATTTATAATGATATTTTAATCGACAGTTAAAACTGTTACTTCCCATAATCACTAAAGTACCTATCTTTTTTTTTTTTTGAAAGAACGTTTTGTATGAATTTATTAGTGGATCATATAAAACAAGACATGCAATAGAGGTATCGTTAAAAAAAATATGGCTTTTAATTGTGGTAGTTAAAAGTTACTACTTTTATCAATCATTAAGACTCAAATTCTAATTATTTTTAAAATTTAAAGAAACTACATTTCGATCGAGCTACAATTAGAAAATCGTTGAAAGCTAACAGTACGAGGGATCAATAGTTAAGGGCCTCTATGGATGGAATCGATCGTTTGAATAAATTTATAATGATGTTTTAATCGACGGTGAAAACTACTATTTTCTTTAGTCATTAAAGTGCATATCTTTTAATCGCGATCGTTAGTTACTATTATTATCAATCATTATGAATCATATTTTTTTAATTATTTTTAATATTTAAATAAATAATATTTTAATCGAGTTACAGTTAGAAAATCGTTGAAAGCTAACGGTACAATGGACCAATAGTTAAGGACCCTTGTTGGCGGGATCGACTTTTCGAATACATTTATAATGATATTTTAATCTACGGTTAAAACTATTATTTTACTTAGACACTAACTACTAACGTACATATATTTTCATTGTGGTCGTTAAACGTTACAATAAGGGCCAATATAGTTAAGGTGTCTTATTGGTATCCAAATGGTAAAGATTAACTCCATTCATTCTATATAACTTGAAACTAACCATTATAAATTCAAGCATATTCTGTGTCATTAATTGAACTCAAACCTAAAACCTTCAACTTTTTAATACCATCGCATATCATTAAATCAAAATCTCATTAACATTGGGGACATAACGTCAAGTATTAATTCAAGCATATCAAGAAGTAGAGATAAGGCAGTACCGGTGGCATGATTTAGATAAATAATTGCTTGAAAATTATTAGGGTTCCAAACTTGGCCTGAATTCAGTTGCAAGCGTTTTGTGTCTTTCTAAGCATTGAAACTAAAGGGACAGATATATGTTTTTACCCTAATAGGAGTATGCTTTAATTACCATTAAATTAAAACGGTATTATTTACCTTTCTTAGTGATAAGGATGACTGTGAGGTGAGATGGAAAATGTGAAGCTCAAGTCATGAGGACCAATGGCTAGCTTCGGCAAGCTACCTGAATTTACTAGACTATCCAAATTAGACGATAATCTTGCACTATGTTTTGTGTGGGTAATTTTGTATTTTTTGAATCTGATTTAAGGGCGTTATTTAGCTTCGGTTCCGTTCTAAATCCGTCTACCAAAGGGCAAATAACGGTAGGAGCAACATTGCTTCATATATGGTAATGTGCAGTGTTTTTGTGTATAAATACATAGCCCAGGGAAGCCTCTTAATCACAGTAACTCAAATCTTTATAAGGTTAGTTGAGTCGAAAATATATATTTTGTAAGATTTTGATTTCTTTTTAGTAATGCTTGTTTGTTTTGCATGTTTGCAGGTTTATAGCAACAGTAGCACTTGAAAGCATGGACGGAAAGAACAAAAATATTGCGCAGGAAATTCCATCTGCTACCTCAACTTGGCCTGAATATCCCATTGCTGCCACCGGTGTGGGTGCCAATGCCAACCCTTTCACCTCCATGTCTCCATCAAATCTTCCTATATCCCCTACTTCATTTAATTATGTGGGACAAAAGCCCTATTTCATGAATCAGGCTGGTGCTGTTGCTGGTCCTACTGTTGGGGCAAGCAACAGTGAAACTATGCCCTCTTTCTTCTCGGGGTTAGATCATTTTCTCATGAGTGATGAAATGAATAAGACAGATCAAAATCCATTTCCTTTGCCTGCTGAGAACTTGATACTCGGCCCTTATGTCAAAACTGTGGTGGGCAATGGTGTTCAAGGCAGTGAGAGTTGTGAGAAGGAACAAATCATGGAACAAAGAAGGCTTAACCGGTAACTTCGTTTTATCTTCTTTGCTTCAGCCTATGTATATCTTACTTTTCTTTTTGTCTGTTCAATCATTTACTGTTCCTTCTCTTGTGTTTTGTTGTGTAGGGTCATTTCAAATCGACTCTCCGCTCAAAGATCAAGAATGAGGAAGCTTCAACATATCTATGATATGGAAAAGCAGGTGGAATCTTTACAGGTAAACAAAACTTCATCTTTCTCTAGATTTACTCCACATTTAATTGATCTCATCTATGTATGAAAATTTTCAAATAAACACAGACCCAAGTTATCGTGCTCTCGGCTCAAATTCAACAGCAAAAGGAAAAGCAATTCTTGCAGATAAATGAGCGACAGCAATTGCAGAACCGTATTTCAGCTTGCGCTAATCGTAGGGTTATGGTGGATGGTAAATCAAACACCTGAACTCTCGTTAAAATAGTATCAAAAATTTTTCGGATAGAAGGAATACAATGATTAAAGTACGTATACGAATAAATATTTCATGCATATAATACGATTTTTGTTTATATTTTGCGGATGCAGCTGAAATCGAAGAGAAGAAAGCCGAACTAAATAGGCTGAGGGAACTACAATTGATGCAACAGGGACTGCCCACGAAGGAGACGCCGATCAATCCTTCTCTGAACGGTAGAAAAATGCAGCACACTGATAATATAACCCACCTATCATCCTCTCAATACAAATCTCTACACTAATTACCAAACAATATTTTTAAATTATATTATTAAAATGGTTAACTGGAAAAACACAAAAAGTATGACCAAAATCGAAACGAAAACCTTAAAAGTACCGCTGGCCAATATGGTAGCTTCGTCAGTCAAAGTGTCACCCATGAAATGATTGATGTACTGCATTCAGTTACACTTCCGTTTTGTTTGTTTGCGTTCAACTTAATTTGACTCTAATTTTTAAATAATGAAGTAATTCTGTTTCGAGGTATAATTATTTTGTAACTTGTTTTGGATTACTTTTCTTTCCTTTCAATGTTAAAATTACATTACCTCAATTCCTATCTACCTTTGTTCAATTTTAAAAGTAATCAATGCTTTTATTTATCTTGATTTGTTGTGCAGTTGATAATGGAAAAGATTACATAGACGAAGAGATGAACGAGCTTAACTTGCAGCAGGAAGATCCGGGGCATATGACGGTGGCTGGTTGGGAAGCCAGTGGAGGAGAGCTCACAAATGTGGGCCTGGACCAATCTGGACCGGAACAACTGCAGATTGAAAGCTCTAACTCGGACTTTGAAGAGCTTGAGGAGATCCTCAAACTCAACCCCGGCAATGACTTTCATATCAACTAATGCTTCATATCATTGCCCACCGTTTTTCTCTGCATTAATCCCTCCGTTTTCTGTTTGCATGTATGTCTGTTTTCTTTAATATGATGAAAAACCTCATGGACTATTTTATGATTATGAATAAATTTTTATAACTATATGTTCACTATCGGGATTGTATATAGTAGATGTTGATGAAAAAAAAGAGAGAACAAAACTGAGATAAATCATGGCCTCCAGATAAAGGGCAGTTTAAATTATTCATTGTAAATGCATGCGTTTCAATTAGCATGGCAAATAGCTAGCTACACAACATCTATGGTGATGATTTTTTTTTCTTGTACAAGTACCAACAAGATCTGACTAGAATTCGCTCAAATTCATTTAATCAGATCCAGGGTTCTCGCCAGTTTACGATACGTTGTAGAATCAGCTTCCTTCAAGTTGCTGCTCTTTGAAACCATGTTTACATTCAAAGAATATGTTTCAGTGTTTGAAGGGGAATATAAAGAAAGAGACAGATTGCTATTGGCGCCTTCTTCCTCATTCGAGGTCTTTGATCTCTTAACTTCTTGCCTCAGCTTTGTGCTCAGTGAGAGGCTTAAATCAAGGTCCTCATCATCAACAACTATTCTTTTGGCTGTTCTAAGTTGCCTTTCTGCTCCTATTCCCAGCCATTTACTTGCAAAAGAGGGATGCATGAACATCGGCTGCAGTTCTGCTAGGGTGCTTTCAGTTTCACAATCATCAATGATATCATGCAAAAGTTGCTGATTGAATATGGAGTAGTTGTTCATGTAGAAAACCTCATTACTTGCCCTTGAACCAAGTTCTTCACTCGTGTCAGAACCGAGTAAACCAGCTTCGTTTATACTATTTATGCGAGCATTATTAGTCGAATAAGACTCGGACATTCGGTTTCCGGGAAAAGCACCCCATGAAATATCACTATATACATGTTAAATGAGATAGATGTTAGCTTCTAGGCTTGCAAAAGTACAAAAAGCTCATTCTGTCGAAGCTAAACTTGGCTTTACCTAATCACTCTTTGATCATGAAACATGGATTGATACCAAAGATTTTGACAACGGTGATTTACACTTCTCAAAGGATGCCTGCTGTTTACAACTGTCATGTATACATACACCAAGAAAGTATTAGAAATTGAAGAAATTAGCCCTAAATATAAATTGCAGGTTATATTTTATATGATCAAGAGTTGTACCTTGACCCTTATCATCAAGCTTCTTGCTCCGATACATCTATAAGCTCAGTAACAGAAATTGAAATTAGAATTTCTGTACTATCTTATTTAAAAGAATTTAATGTTTTAACACATACCTGCAAATGACTCTTGACATGAGCAATACTAAGAACCTTGATATTCATTAGTTGCAAGACCAATTTTGGAGTTGCTCCTACACCAAGGATCATATCAAAATAACTGGATAATGGGTTTCTTCATATCTTAATTAAAGGCATGAAAATCAATCACCCAAACAAAGTAGATTAAAGAAATTTTCAATGATCTTACTCTCTTTACCACCAAGTCTGTCCACGGCTCGAACAAAGCGAAAATGAAGTTCAGGGGTCCATCGCAGCCTAGGCATCCTCGATCTCACATAGGGTCGCACCCCACTTGAACTAATTTCCTTCTTCTCGTCTCCTTCAACTATGCTGTTGCTTGGGCTTGCACTGTTTCTAGTCTTATTACTTCCAACATCAGCTTCATCTTCTTCCTCCATGTTTAGTGGAATAACCTTGTGCATGATTAGTCTTCGAAAAAGGATGCCTTGCGAGAGAAACACAAAGATACAATTCAATTAGAAGCGGTCAAAAAGGGTTTAGAAATCCCTCCACTTGCTTCCTCCAAAACAAAACAGTCGCCTGATAAGGAAGGTTCCATAGCGTTGAAGAGTGTAGAACTGGTTTTCCAAACTAATCCAAATAGAAAGTACAAACCCTAACACTCAGCCTTGATGGAAATGTATTTTTTCTATATACATAGTGGACCCATATGTTATTCTCTGGATGATTAAGACCCATGTAAGCATGCAATGAATATCCATGGATGAAGTCTTGAATGGGAATACTTTAAAACCAGGCAATAAGAGAGAAATTAATTAACCCCCTAAAACAAGAAATGTTAAGGAAGACTGTGTTGTTGATTCTTGCTGTCGGTGGTATCGGATTTGTCTTTGTCCCTTATCAATGACCGCTCCTAATAACAACAAACTTAACTTTTTTTTTTTTTTTCATTTTTAGCTTCTTCCAAGGTTCCTCAGTCTCTCATAGAATATATTAATTAGTAGTATATGATATATGACGGTCCTCGCACAACATTGGATTCAATGATCCTCATTCTTATAAATTGGACATCACAGCTCCCATCATATATTTCTGAGCAAGGTTTTTTTCTATTATGATTTCTCTGTGATCCTTCCATGAAAAATGCTGATTTTGGAGGAGAAAATAGATTCTTCTTGTAAAGATTTCACATGGCATATTGGCCAACGTGCATTGGAGAAGACAACATAACCAACTGGAAGCTGATGATCATGAGTAACTATAATGTATATATACATGAAACTGTATTGCAGATCGTGCATGTTAGTAGATAAGATCAAATGAAAAGTATTACAAATTGTTTTTGATAAAAAAAAGAAGGAAAAAACTCTAGAAAATCTTCAAAGCGGAGAGAGGCTGTGTTTTTAGCATGGTTTTCAGAACCGGACCGGTTAGCGAACCGGTCATGCTATCGTTCTCTGGTTTAACCGATCGAATCGGTCCGACCGATCGGAATAACCGGACGACGTCATAATTATTTAAAAAATTAAATAAAAATACCAAAAATATTTAATAAAAAATAATTTTGTATATCACAAGTCATATTCAAAGCAAGTCATAACATATATGAGTTAAAAATCATAAAATCAAGTGAAACAAAGTAATTCAAATTAACTACAACATAATATTGAAGATAAAACATATTAAATAATAAATATAATTATATAACTATAATTAAAAAATAAATTTGGAGCTAAAAATATCATAACAAAATGATATTGTTTGGTTTAATTTTTTTTTTAAAAACAATCTCACATGGCTAAGAAACATATAAAAACATATCAAAAGTCTAAAGAGTAAAAATATGAGAACAAAACAATCTCACATGGCTAAGAAACATAGAAGAGCATCCCAACTAACTTCTATAAATAATAGAGGTAATTTGACATTCAAAATCATGGAGCCTTTTGGTGAGCATAGAGTGAACTATTATTTCACTTCAATCAAACTCGAATTTTAGGCTTCAATCGAGCTTCTAATTTTTTTTGAGTTCAAGCCTTTTCGAGTTCAAGTTTCAATATTATATTTCGAGTTCATTTCAATATTATATTTCGAGTTCGAGTTGAACTTGATAATTTTTAGTTCGTGAGTTTGAGTCGAGTTGAGCTTACTTTTAAAGTTTGAGTTGATCTCAGTAATACTCGAGTTCGACTTGGCTCGTTTAACAAACGACGTCGTTTGGTTTAATTTTTTTTTTTAAAACAAAATTGACGGTTTTTTCTGGTTTTCAGCCGGTCCGGTTCGAACGGTTCAACGGTTCCGGCCGGTTCACTAATAACGGTTCAACCGATTTAGTTTGAACCGGACTAGACAACGTTTTCCGGTTGAACCGATCGGTCCGGTTTTCAAAACAATGGTTTTTAGGGGTGAGGGACAAATGTGCATGTGAAGATCAAAACAGGACAGGAAAAAAATCATAGTTTGCTGTGCATATCGAGTGTTGAGAAGCTTGGATGAGTGGGACTGTAGCAAGGGTCAACTCCTAGCATTATTTAAATCATATGGGGGCAAGGCAGGATGTCACCTAAACATAATATTATATGGTGCATGAGAATACGCAAACCCTTTTTATGCGGATGAAACCAATATGATGGAATGAGTATGTTTGTCTTTTCTCTACCCATCACATTCCCATGAATGTCATTATAACATCATGCCATATATGCATCCATGATGACCATGACTAATGAACAAAACATGGGTCCAACAAATTTTGATATCAACTGGCCCAACTTTCTTGTTTTCTATAAATCCTGTCCAATGGTCACCACCCAAAATGCAATATGAGCCCAGTTTGTTTATCTCTCGGGCGTCAAAATCAGCCTTACAAGTGAACCGAGCAGGAGATAAAATAAGTGAACTGCCTCCCTCTGTTTCTACTTTTATGGTGCTTCTCGTTTTACCTTCAGCTTCTCCGACTGGAACTACCTTGGGTTTCTGCTTGGATGCCGAGAAATCGTAGGAAATTATAAGAAAAGAGGAATCTTTTGACTCCAGCTAGGACCAGTAAATCTTCGTTCGACTCATATTAGACTTGGGTTTTTGTTTATTTTGCGCGAACTGAAGCTCGCAATGTGAATTTTTTCGCCCTTCTACCCCACTGATGGCCATCTCTCGTGTGTTCACCTCGTTGACTGAATTAACTTTGCCTTTTCATAGGCACCGCTTTGTGGCTTCTCAATTTTATCAAACTTTCTTTTCAAAACACAGTCTTGGAACAATTCAGATTACCGTATGCAGCCACCGATATTCCAACTTTGTGCTTAGAAGAAGACAACCAAAATTTAGTATCTTCACACGCTGGTGTAATAGAACCAATATGTAACGAGTGATGATGAAGATGAAATGACGCAATGAGCGAATGCTTCTTCGAGGCAATTAGAGAGAATGGCGAGGGCACCCTCTGATGTTCTTGAAGAAATGAATGATAAGCTGTCATCAAGAGAGTTGCAGTTAGTTCTAGTTTACTTTTCTCAAGAAGGGAGAGATTCTTGGTGCGCCCTTGAAGTATTTGAGTGGTTCAGAAAGGAGATCAATGTTGATGATGAGACAATGGAACTCATGGTT